CGTGCCTTGGATTTACGGCCTGGGCTTGAACCATGACAGGTTGGCATTGGCCCGTATCACAAGTGTGTCAAGGTCCCTCTGGATGGCATTCCTTCCCTCCAGTGTATCAAATGAACCATACAGCTAGGTGTCCTTTGGATACCCTTGAGACCTGCCTGCTGATTGTGATGGGGATCACCATGTTGGCACACATAGAGTGTTTCTTTCCCACAACCATTTTGTCTGATCTCAAAAGTTAAACAGAACTGGGTTTGGGTCTGGTCTAGGGTTAGATGACGATATAGGAGGACCACCAAAAGATTTTCCTGAGGCTGGACAGTCATGAGTGGCAGGGTGTGTGGGATAGTATGGGCAAGTATCTAGGCCAGTGGGCCCCTCCAGTGCTTTGGAACTTCACCACTGAACAAGTGCAAAATCCAGAAAAATTGGTAAAACACTCAAATGAGGTGTGTTGTCATCCTGATCATACCAGAAAGGGACAAATCCTGGCAACGTGCTGGGGCTAGGCCTACGCCTCCAGAGCCCTGTTCAACACTATCCAGCACCTTCAAAGGGAAAAAAATGTCTTTGGATCTGATGGCAAAGCAACAGATAACGCAGCTACTCCTACTCCAAATACAGCAAGTACACCAACCCCAATGACAAGTACAGCAGCTACTCAAACTCTGACAGCAACAGACACGGCAGCTACTCCAGCTCCAAGCACAGCAGCTACACCAGCCCCAGTGACAAGCCCAGCAGCTACTCAAACTCTGACTACAACAGACAACGAAGCTACTCCAACTACAAGTACAGCAACTACACGAACCCCAGCAACAAGTACAGCAGCTACAAAAACCCCGATAGCAACAGACAGCGCAGCTACTCCAGCTCCAAGCACAGCAGCTACACTAGCCCCAGTGACAAGCATCACAGCTCCTCAAACTCTGACTACAACAGACAACACAGCTAATCCAATCCCAAGCACAGCGGCTGCACCAACCCTGACAACAGATAGTGCAGCCACTCCAACCACAATGATATTCACGGCAGCTAAACTAGAGGACCAGTTCGTGCCAATATCGGTTGCCCTTGTACGCAAGGGGAAAAGCAAAAAAGAGGCACAAAGAGCAACCCGTACAGTGAAGAAAGATGAAGAACCAATGCACTTACTGCACGGGACTGAATAAGAACAAGAGCTATTATTACGTGAATCAGAGGAAGAGGAAGAAGAAAAGGTGACTTCTTGACCCCAGACTTCAACCAAGCTATGAAAGATGCGAAAAGATTTTACCCGCCATCCAGGGGAGCACATCACCACCTGGTTGCTCCTATGCTGGGACAATGGGACCGACAGTCACGAACTAGAAGGTACAGAAGCCAAGCAGCTGGGATCACTTGCTAGGGAAGGGGGAATTGAAAAAGCAATTGCAAAAGAGAAATGGTCTCTCAGCCTCTGAAGGCAACTATTGGCAGCTGTGAAAGAAAGGTTTCTGTACAAGGACGATGTTATGAGCCATTCGGCCAAGTGGACTACACTAGAGAAAGGCATCCAGTCTCTGAGGGAATCAGCCATTGTAGAGATGATCTATCAAAGGCCGGATGCCGGGAATGCACCCAGAGATCCAGATGAAGTCAAATGTACACAACCCATGCGGCGCAAATTTACACAAAATGCACCGTCATCATATGCCCACTCATTGGCATCAATAACTTGGCATGACGTAGCACCGCCAAGAGTGGATGAAGTGATTCTTCAACTCCGACAGTTCGAAGATAATCTCACCCCTTCCATCATTTCAGCCGTGGAAAAACTGTCTCAGGAGTTCAAACAATTGAGAGATGATTTCTCCAATCTATCCATCTCCCCATGTGTACCAACACGTCTCAGCTATTAACAAAAGGCATCTTAGTGCTTGAGAGAAAAGATATAAGAGGTACAAGACACAGGCTACCCCATGACTGTCCAGCTTCAGGGAAAATCTTTGTGGTCCTCCTGTATGATCGTCTAACCCAAGACCAGACCCAAACCCCAACCTGCTTAACTTTTGAGATCAGAAGAAATGAGCCATGCCCAGCGTGGTATGGGTGCGGGTAAAACACACTCTGTATGTATGCCAACATGCTGATCCCCTTCACAACTAGCCACAGAACTAGCATCAATATTATATTAGATCTTGACAAAAGCATAAAGGCATCACAAAGCTAAGAATGTAATAGTAACTATTATTACTATTTTCAATACAGGATAATAATAAAAGCATCCTCTGTAAAACTGTTTGGGTTCAGTCAAACCAGGATTTATTTGTCCACCAGAAATATCTGAAAAGTGCTTCTCCACAATCAAACAACCACTGATGGGTTCGGAAAAAAAATAAATGTCCTTCCACATTTTCAAACAAAACAGTATGCTCAGCTGAACAGCAAAGAGAGCCTTTACTGAATAAACAATCCTGAAAATATTCATAAACTGATACAACATATGACCTTTACAGAAAGGAATGAGACAATATCTGCTGTTGTACAATAATTTGGAATATGAGAAACACTGAATTATTATAAAAGAAACCCACACTTCAATCCCTCTCTCATCAAATCTGGAAAGATGGACGAGGAAGAGTGAGGAAATCGGAACAGAACCATTAAAGGATTTTGATTTATAGAACTGGAATTTAAACTGTTGAAGCTCCGGAGCCATGTACATATTTAAAGTATCCCAAATACAGGACACTATCGTGACTTGAGAAATCTGAGACTTAGTTTTGTAGTGTGCCAACGCTGCCACTTATGGTTTTATTCTATGTGGACAGAGATATGTATTTGCATTCATAAGATAACTTAAGACTTCACAGTACTGTAATGGACTCCTACTCCTGTATGTTATTGTTACTATTTATCCTACATTTCTTCAAACTTACTCGCTTTCCTAACCTCGTCCCTAGCTTCCTGGACAACATCCCTGTATCCTTCCCAGGCCGCCTGTCCTTGTTTCCACCTTTTATAAGCTGCTTTTTTTCCCCTCTAAGTTTTCTCAGCATCCATGGAGGTCTCCTGGCCCTCCTGCCACATTTCCTTCTAGTCGGAACACAACACTCCTAAGCTTAGAGCAGATCCTTGAATATCAGCCAGCAGTCTTGGGCCCCTCTGTCCTCTAGGGCTATATCCCATGGAACCTTATTAAGCAGGTTTCTGAAGAGGCCAAAGTCTGCTCTCTTGAAGTCCAGGGCAGTGAGCTTGCTGCACGCTCTTCTCACTGTCCTAAGGATCTCAAACTTGACCATCTCATAAACGTTACAGCCAAAGCTGCCCTGGCGCATCACATTCCCTAACAGCCCCTCCCTGTTGGTGAGCACAAGGTCAAGCATGGCACCTCTCCTTATTAGCTCCTCTATTACTTGCAGAAGGAAGTTGTCTTCCACACGATTGAGGAACCTCCTCAATTTCTTGTGCCAGGCCGTACCATGCCTCCAACAGATATGGGGGTGGTTGAAGTCCCCCATGAGGACAAGGGCCTTTGAGCATGAGGCTGCTCCTATCTGTCTATAGAGTGCTTCATCCACACAGTCCTTGTGATCGGTTGGCCTGTAGCAGATCCCCACTATAATGTCCCCCATCGCAGTTCTCCCTTTGACCCTAACCCACAAGATCTCTGTTGACCCATCACTTGTCCCCAGACAGAGTTCCATACTCTCTAGCCTATCATTAACATAAATAGCTACTCCCCCCTCCTCGTCTGCCTGGCCTGTCTTTCCTAAAGAGCCTATAACCTTCCATTTCAACACTCCAGTCATAAATCAAGAAGCACATAGTCAATTTTGGGCAAGCAGGCAGGGCCTTATGGACTTACCTAAAGAGAAATGTGTATGCAGAATCTAACTGAAATACAGCCCTTGTGTTGTGGCAGAAAACCAAATACAGATTGCCTGTCCACCACAAGGCAATGTGACAATGCACAGTATGCAAAAACTGAAGTTAGCTGCCAAATTCCAAGTACGTGTCCTGAGACAGAGAATCTGGGCATCTTCTTTCACCAACAAGAAGCTACACAGCACAAAACTATCGGTCTTGATTTAGCAGCAAAAGGCTGCCCAACACAATCAACTTCTGTTCATCAGATAGAGACTGAGAAAAGGAAGGTCTCTGAACCCACCCCACCCTCTTAATGTGAATGCAGGTGCAGGAGGCCTCATCAACACAAGGTTTATATATAAGCACACAGGTGAGACTATGCAGACAAGAACTCAGATTATTCTACTGAAACTAAGGACAGAAGTTTTTCTTCTGTGTCTTTCTACAGGTTAAAGAAATAAGACACTGTAGAAGCAAACCGAGCTAATTTCATACCTGCTACTAAACATACATAAGGGAACTGAAGATTAACAAGGTGAAGTCCATACTTTCAACTCATCAGCAACTGAAAATCCCCCCAAATTTAGAAGACCTCCTGCAACTCAATGACATTATTAAACCAGATGTACGTGATTTCTAACCCTTATGACTGAAAGTGAAGTGCTTGCTTTATTCAGTTTTATGAAGGAGTTTTACATGTTTAGCTATTGAAATACTTTGATTCTCCTGCTGTCATTAGTTTTGTTAAAAACCCCAAGCAGTCAGTAGTAGAACAGTAATACCTACACACTTAAGTGAGACTGAACTGCACTTCATCCCCCTACACAGAACATAAAAACAGAAGAAAAATTTTCTACTGCTTCTATGAGACATTTGCTATGAGTGTCCCAATGCACTGAATAGGGGAAGGGAAGGAAAGGAAAATAGTGTAAGGATCCTTCAAAACTTTAAATACACATTAATCCTAACAAAATGACCCCATATACTAAACAAAACCAACTGTAATGTATCTATCAAACAGGTATTGGTGAAACCCTGAACAATAACTTACTAAATTTAACTTATTCTACCTTATTAGCATTTGTATGCTGAAATAATATTCATTCTAGAACAAGATTAATCCTACTCTCTCAGCAATGTGTGGTTATTACTAATTTTAAGTTCAAGGAGCCACAGGTAGAGCAGAACATTTTAGACAGGTATTAGTGCATTCTCTTTAGTACCATTAAAGAACTGTACCATTAAAACTTCTCAATACTTCATACATTGCTATTTTCGTGTCTTTCAGGGCAAAATATCTAAAACCTAAGAACATCATGGAGTAGCAGTAGACAACAAAAATAACAGAGTGAAAGTGTATCTCTAGTCAGGATGCAGTCAAAGTAAAATATAAAATCAAATCATCAAATATTCAGCTCTAGCTCTATTACAGTGTTGCCTAACCTTGATAAAATCTTTGATGAGCTGGGCTGCTTTAACCCCGTTCTGTACATTAAAGCTTATATCAACTTTTACTTCAGTGAAGCAATCTGTCAGTTTAATAATAGGTACCTGCAAAAGAAAGACAGGTTAAGTCAATACAGATTTCCAAGAGACATTTGGTTTCATTCATACTTATATGCACCAGTAAAACTGAAACGTTTTATGACTTTGTTGAGAGAAAACAGTACTCCTATTTATTTAAGAACGCACTCTCCTTGCCAATCTGTTTACATCAACTTTGCTTTTCTAACTCATAAATGCCATTTTCAATTTACTATCCTGTTTAACAGAACTTAACACTTAATCTTCAAAGTGATTCCTTTTAAATTGTTTTTAGTTGTCTCCTAGTGCAGCAGCACAGCTCTAGTGGGAAAAACAATCACCAGAGGGAGACAAACGCTTAAGAAATTAAGATCAATGGTAATAGATACTCAAGAAAATACACACTCCTGTCATTGCGGGTCACTGATTCCTCATCAAAATCATCTTCAGACAAGAAGCACAAGTTACTGAGAACACTATGACATATCTCCACCTGAGTGGTTTCCAAATTACCTCTCTCTACTAATAATAGCCATCAATTAGACACCTGTTTAACCCCCAACACACTTACATACTCTTACAATTAGCAGAAGGTAGGAAGTTATAATGGAATTTATCCTATCCTGTGCGAGGCATACCATTACATATTTATATAAGGCTGTACTTAGTACTTCTATGTGAAAATGTATTATGTCTGCTTACTTACAATAAGAAAAAATTACTTATGTAAAAACTGAGTCCAGAAATTCACAAGTTTGATCACATTAATTCACAACAATGACTAATATAATCTCACTTTAAAACAAGTGTATGTTGTGTAGCATGAACAATCAGATTATTTTCCCCAACAGAAGAAATGCTTCTGTTGCAGCACTATCAATTATTTTAGAGTAATAAAAACTGTAATAAATAAAAAAGTTCTAGCTTATATTTATATATAGTTTCTGCTTATGAAAATTCATCCTTTTAACCAAGATATTTTATTACACATTTAGCTTAGAACAAGGAAACACCTTCTTCCCCCAAACTTACAGTTGCTTTATCTAAAACCTTTACTGAGTTTTCATCTGCTACATTGTGCTTTCTAAGAGCTTCTTCCAGGGTCCAAAGAGGCAATGTCTCCCACTTTCCAAACACAACTAAATCAATATCACTGAAATAGAAAGAAAGCACAGATTTATTCAAATTAAAAGACCAATACACTTAAAAGATAAACAGCTGACATCCACACATAACCAAAATAAAGCTGACAGAATGTAACCAAATAATTTATTCTTAATTTTCTGAGGAAAGAGGTGGGGGATGAACTCTTACACCTGGGGAACTACAGAATATTTCAGATTACCAAGGGAGGGGACAGACACACACACACACACACACACACACACATACACACACACACACACACACCCCCCCCACTTGGGCTGCAAATCCCAAGATTAGTCTCCTCAGGCCACGCTGTCAGCAGAAATGGATCAGCTTCACCAGAGTGATTCTGAGCAAGAAAGTAACTTGTTGTGGAGCACCACCTTTGGGCTGTATTAATCAGTAACCCTGATTTAACAGCCTGTCACTGAAAGGGAAAGTCCTGGTCTCCATCCTCTGCTCCCAGATGCATGGCCCTGTCTCCTCCTTTGCTGCAGGTCTGGTGTTTGTCTAATCTACAGCAAATCAACTCAACATATTAATGGATGTGGCAAAAACCAACTCCCCACCCCTAAAAAAACCCAAAACATTGTGGGGTAATTTCCTGCCTCTTTGCATTTCAAAGTTGGGTTTCTGGGTGATCAGAGCACCAGCTAGCACATGGTAAGCAGCTGGTCTGTAGCGCCAAGAATAGGGAGCGGGGAAGGAGATCGGAAAATGTGGCAACTTTGACTTCAGGAAGCAACAAGCTGTTAAGCAAGATCAAACTAATTAACTTCATTCATTAACTCAGCTCCTTGAAGAGGTGTCTCCATCCCTACACTTCCTCCCTATGCACGTACACATTCTTCTGACTACAAAGGGATTTGACACCCTAATTCAGTGCCTAAACTCAAATCCAAAAGATGACTGGTGTCCAAACCAAAGCCAGTAAGGGCTACTGTGAGATCTTGAGCTCTTTCCTCTTTGCTCCCCAACTTCTTTGATTTTCCCTGCTTGGTTGGGTACACAAAGGAGACGAGCATATAACCCTGCAGCTATACGAGCAGACCAGTGGCACAGAAAACTGCAACAGGCAACACCAAAAAAATTAGGAATACTTTTCCTCCCAACAGATCCTACAGGTCTGCTGTTTCACAGACAACACTGCTTTAACAACCTCAAAGAAACCGAAATATCTCTTGCCAACAAGCAGTGTCAGCAGCAGTTCAGCTGCATGCCATTTAGCTGGCAAGGGTAGGCAGCACTCAGCCAGCTGCAGAAAACTATGTTAAAAACCTGCTTGGAGAGCAGGAAATGCTACTGGACACTTCTAAACTAAATTGGTGTTAAACCCACTACTGATGCTGAGAGTTAACAAGACACTCTTTTTTTTCTGATACACACCAAGAGAGAAAAAGTAGTTCTGTTGTCACCTTGAGTATAGATATTGCCTGAAAAATAACAGAGATGCAGCAGCTAAACAACCCTGTACCCAAACCTTCAATATCAGCTTAAGTAAAAGATTAGACAAAATATAACACAGAATAACAGAATAAAAAAAAACACACTGCAGGTCTTTCTGAATCCCAGAAACTGAAATCTAAATTAACTATACAGTTACTGACGGGTAGGGAAAACTTAGAGCAAAAGGAAGCTTGGATAGAAGGCAACAGTGAATTAATTACCCCCATGCAAACACTCATTATTTTGAAAGTATAGCAAGTACTGCCACAGGAAGGGTTTTGTTGGCTTATGTACTGTGTTTAAAAACACCTGCATTTTTTCTCCCCCCCAAAACTCTGCTGAGACAAGTATGGAGAAAAGGCAGTATATGAAATCAAATAGACAACAGCAAAGTGGTTTTGTTGCATCAGTTTCAAAATAATCAGTCATGTGGATAGGTATAGCTCTCTTGCATTATCAGCAACCCATCAAGTTTAATCAAGCCTATTTAAAATCAATGGAAAAAAAGCCAAAAATGAGGCATTGTGAAAACAATGTGTATTTGTACACCTTACTTCTGACTTTCCAAACAGAAACTGAGCAATTCAGTCTTCCTGCAACCCCTTAGACTAAAATGGGTATTAAAACATCTGTCAGATTCTTTTTTCAAAACTACATGAAATGATGACTTGGGTATCCGGCACTTGTAGTCAGTACTAAATACCAATTCCTCATGTTCCCAAAGTACAGAACTCAATTCAAGTGTTAACTTCAGGACTTATGCTATTTAAATGTGTTTGTCCCCTGCAGCCATTTAAGCCTTTCATTCTATTTCTATTTAACTGTCAAAAATACTTACAATTTCTACACAGAAGATACCAATGAAACTGAAAAATTACTTTATGAAAACTAGTAATAAATTTGGAAAAGGTAGATGATGGCTATTGTACAGATTTCACTAAAGAAGAGTGAAAGAAAAAAAGCGATTCTGTATGCAATCTTGTCTCTTCAGTGCTAAGATTATCATAAAGAAGGCAATGTTAAATGTTTCAATTTAATCACCTGTGGAGATAATTTTAGCTTTTCTTTTAAGGCCAAACTCTTATTTCGGTTCAGTCACTAAAGAAGCCAAGTCACAATACAAGCCTTTTTTGACAACATGGTATTTTTAGATCTTTTACTAATACATGCAAAAATCTATATAGCCACAGGTACTACAGTTAATAGTCTTAATTACTAATTTTTGTATACACTTTGCAGAGTACTAATAGCTTAACACTTTCTTAATATAACAAGTATACGCACAAGCAACAGATATTAGGAGATCAAATAAGTCACTACAAAGGTATAAACTCGAAAGGCTATCTTTTGTACAGAATTTACACTGAAAAATTACTGACCTTGTAGGTAAATATAAACCAGTTTTAAAACTTCCAAATATCTGCACCTGAAACACAAGAACAGAAGAAGTGATTCAGAGCAGCACTGTTGAGAAGGACTTGGGGGTTTGGTTGATGAGAAACTGAACATGAGCTAGCTTCAGTGTGTGCTTGCAGCCCAGAAAGCCAACCGTATCCTGGGCTGCATCAAAAGGAGCGTGACCAGCAGGTCGAAGGAGGTGATCCTGCCCCTCTACTTCTGCTCTCGTGAGACCCCACTTGGAGCACTGTGTGCAGTTCTGGTGTACTCAGCATAAAAAGGACATGGAACTGTTGGGGCAAGTCCAAGGATAGTAAGGGGGCAGGAGCACCTCCCGTACGAGGACAGGCTGAGAAAGTTGGGGCTGTTCAGCCTGGAGAAGAGAAGGCTGCATGGAGACCTCATAGCAGCCTTCCAGTATCTGAAGGGGGCCTAGGAGGATGCTGGAGAGTGACTCCTCATCAGGGACTGTAGCAATAGGACAAGGGGAAATGGGTTTAAACTAAAACAGGGTAAGTTCAAGTTAGATATAAGGAAGTTCCTTACTCATAGGTGAGTAGGCACTGGAATAGGTTGCCCAAAGAAGTTGTGAATGCTCCATCCCTAGCAGTGTTCAAGGCCAGGTTGGACAGAGCCTTGGGCAACACGGCCTAGCGTGAGGCATCCCTGACCATGGCAGGGGAGTTGGAACTAGATGATCTTAAGGTCCTTTCCAACCCTAACTATTCTATGATTCTAAATGATCAGGATTCAGAAGACAAACAAGTTCTATTAAATTGCTTGGAAAAGCTGGTTATTGCTACCCTCCATTGGTATATTTTGGTACTGCCAACAGGCACATTCTGAATAGAAGTACTCTCTTCTGTTAAAACATTTACATCTTCAGTGTAGTGTAAATTGCTAATCTTCAGTGTTATTACCCACAAAACATTAATAACTTTGACTTTTCTATTACAAAACCTTCTTTTTAATATAAAAAATTCACCATGACCAAATTTAGCAAAAAACCATAACTCAAATTTAAAACACTTTAGAATGATAGAACATTAAGAAAAACCCAGTTCAGTACAATTTCTTTTCTGCTTTCATATCTCAAAGTATACCCTTCACTTTTTAAAAACATTATCTAAATTTAATATACTTCCATTGCTTTGCATACTAAAAAAGAATTGCATCACAGTTCTTTTCTGAACTGCAGAGCAAGTAGCACAACTCTGTTTATTTCTGCTTAAAAAAAAAAAAAAAAAAGTTTCAGAGTTTCACATCCCCCAGATTTAATTATGCTGGATTTTTGCTAGCACCGGAGGTTTAAATAAGGAGGTGTCTGTTGTAAACTGTCCAAACCCACAGTTGTTTAGTCTGGAGGAGGCTCAGGGGGGACCTTATGGCTCTCTACAACTACCTGACAGGAGGTTGTAATGAGGTGGGGGTCAGCATCTTCTCCCAAGTAACAAGCAATAGGAGAAGAGGCAATGGCCTCAAGCTGCACCAGAGGTGGTTTACGTTGGATATTAGGAAAAAATTTTTCACAGAGAGGGTGATCAAACATTGGAATAGGTTGCCCAGGGCACTGGTGGAATCACCATCTCTGAAAGTGTTCAAAAACTGTGTAGATGAGGCCCTCAGCGATATGCTTTAGTGGTGGTCTTGGCAGTGCTGGGGTAATGGCTGGACTTGATGATCTTAAAGGCCTTTTCCAACCTAGTTGACTCTATGATTCTAACTTAGCCAAGCCTCACAGGGAGGTTGGACTCCTGCTAAGTCTCAAAGGGGGACTGGTGAGACTTCAAAATAAAAATATCTACACATTTGGACTAATTTTCAACCAGACAGTCTTCTGATGTGTTTCCTGGAGCCACCTTACAGACCTGTGTATTCTGCTTCAGTAAGTCTCATGCACTAGCTTGACTGCCACTTATTTGTATGTCAAGTGACCCACTTTCTATGTTTTTCCCCTTAGGGACAAGAAAAAGGGAGAGATGGGAAAAGACGATGTTTTGCAAGTAAGTGTTTTGATACTTTATTAGACTAGGAAGCTAGTTTGCATGCTTCCTCTTGATTTTTTCATATCATTTAATTCTTCTTACTCCCTCAACCCACCCCCAAAAAAAGCACATGCTGACAGTAATTTGAATGTTGAAAATTCACAGCTTCTCAAACTAGAAAAGACTGCAAGAGATGCCACAGAACTAGCATCAATATTATATTAGATCTTGACAAAAGCATAAAGGCATCACAAAGCTAAGAATGTAACTATTATTACTATTTTCAATACAGGATAATAATAAAAGCATCCTCTGTAAAACTGTTTGGGTTCAGTCAAACCAGGATTTATTTGTCCACCAGAAATATCTGAAAAGTGCTTCTCCACAATCAAACAACCACTGATGGGTTCGGAAAAAAAATAAATGTCCTTCCACATTTTCAAACAAAACAGTATGCTCAGCTGAACAGCAAAGAGAGCCTTTACTGAATAAACAATCCTGAAAATATTCATAAACTGATACAACATATGACCTTTACAGAAAGGAATGAGACAATATCTGCTGTTGTACAATAATTTGGAATATGAGAAACACTGAATTATTATAAAAGAAACCCACACTTCAATCCCTCTCTCATCAAATCTGGAAAGATGGGCGAGGAAGAGTGAGGAAATCGGAACAGAACCATTAAAGGATTTTGATTTATAGAACTGGAATTTAAACTGTTGAAGCTCCGGAGCCATGTACATATTTAAAGTATCCCAAATACAGGACACTATCGTGACTTGAGAAATCTGAGACTTAGTTTTGTAGTGTGCCAACGCTGCCACTTATGGTTTTATTCTATGTGGACAGAGATATGTATTTGCATTCATAAGATAACTTAAGACTTCACAGTACTGTAATGGACTCCTACTCCTGTATGTTATTGTTACTATTTATCCTACATTTCTTCAAACTTACTCGTATTAAATTCCAAAGGTCCTGGATGAGCTTTAATTACAGTGCGTATCCAAATATGTCCTCACTATGCACAACAGAACTTGGAAACCCACAAAAAGTTGGAAACTCTTTGCTACCAAAGTCTCTCCATCAAAAGAAAACAAAAAATCTATCTGTAGCCAGTTTAGAGTTCCCTTTCTTCTACATCATTAAGTAGAATTTTCTGAAGTTTGTCAAACTAAATAGAGTGAATCTTTTTACTTCCATTCACAGTGACAATATTTTCATAACTGAATTGTGTGAAGTATGCCACATTACCTCTTTTCAGATTTACGAAGCCACATAATATTCAGACACGAATCCGAGGACATTATGACAAATACATCCTAAATTCCACTGTATAACTACTTATTTGTTCAGTAGTAAAACTTTCACATTCAATTGGTAAAAAATCTTTGTCTTAAAATGCTCCCATTTAATGTTTTGGGTTGTTCAGTTTCAGCGTAATTAAAGCCTTTCTTATGGTCAGAGCCTTGCTGATGCCAAGAACAGTTCTCACTTAGTAGGAATGTTTCCTTCTAAGCACATTCCCTTGAGTAAGAGAGCAAATGACTTCTGTATATAAAGTAACAGTTTAGGATACCTAGTTTTACCCTCCCTCCATCTGCTTTTTCAGCCTTTCCCTATGTGGAACAGGAACAGACACATTCTACACACTCTGTACGTTCAGATTCATGAAGCCTGATTTTCATTTTCCTTGGTATCTGATTTTTATAGAGTATGTCTTACATACATGTTTAGTGAGAAATTACAAACTGAATGTGTATGTTTAACTTACAAGTTTATTTTAGCTGGATTTGCTGCATCTATGACTCAAAATGAACGGCTTAAAGATTAACTTACCATTTTACACTGCAGCTAAAGATAAGGACATTGGACCAGGTAACACTCTACCTTCTCAGAGTGTGTACTCAAAACTTAAAAAAAGTAGCTAAACCGATACAGATTTCCAGAAGGTTAGTGATTGACTCAAGGAACTGAAAAATTACAACAAAAGACTGTCAAAGTTGAACACAGTTGAGTTCAGCAGTTCAGTTCCCAACCAGATCTGTAAAGTAAGTATTAGAAAAACAGCATTACAGTAATTTCCAGATTGTCACCTGGCATGCTGTGTCACCTGTGTCACTGTTCTGTTCCTCTCTAGCCTCCAGAAAATGGAAGGGCATATAAGAGGAGAATTCTTCCTCAATGTAACAACAGCACACAAGATGCATTTAAGCTCTGAAGAGCAGCTACTGACTTGAGAAAAATTGGCACATTCTTGCTCTCTATCATTTTCAAGAACAGCAAAGAAAGAGGGTCATAGCAGTTTTAACTGGCAATAATTGAAAAGTGAACTTCAGTTTTCAACTACATTGTGTGTGCTTCCTCTCAGTCACATTACAGCTAAGCCCAGTGGCCAGCTGTCACTTGTGGCAGGGCTTGTAATTTGTTTCCCCCCTTAAACAGATTACAGCTACAAAAAACAGTTTCAGTAGCTTAAAAAAAGGCTTTTTTTCTCAAGCCCCCAGTCATATATATATATATATATAAAACAAACATTTTAATACAAAAGACCTAGCTTTTACAGATCAAGTCTGTCCTACAAACAGAGTATCTCTGGATGCACTAAGTTCTTGTGCCCTGTTCAAAGTGTTAGTGGTAACAAAGAAAGATCCCCTGGTAACAAACCCATTCTCCCCATTACACTAGTTTTAAGTCTGAAGCACACAAACTTGTTTAGGAAATAGCGGCCTCTTCTTCAGGCTGAAGCAGTCAGCTGTTGTGGTGAAATCCCCTACTATAAGACTTTGGCAGGGTGTATCAGAGCAAGCACTGGTTTCTACCCACACTATTTCCTATACTATCACCTGTCAAACTGGCAGCCCACTAACTCCTGCTCTTCATTAGGATCTACAACACTGTTTCACTGGGTTAGAGGAGAGCTATACAACACCTGTGAGATATGCTAAAGTCTCTTACAGAGTCCCCTTGGAAAGGTTGTTTTAGTCAAAGAAAAAACTACCAGATATGTGTCGTACTGACTATCATAGCTGTACAAAGGCAGCTATCACTGAGTGAAGAGTGCTCCTTCCATATGATTTGTCACTAATACATTGACCATAATATGAACCACCTTGAAAATGTGAGTGTATTTTACACACAAAACCACACACCACATACCTATAGTTTAGAAATAATTCATATTCTGTGATATTCTGCCAATTTCTAAAAAATACATTCAAAAAGAACAGGTGAAGAAGATCTAAAATGAACAGTGGTTTTAAGTCACTCATGTCAAAACGCTACCTTTTACTGTGGCAGGATCAAAGAGCATTCCTTATACTAAAGATTCTGCTGTCTGAATTTGGTTTACTATTCCAGCTAACAAGTCCTTATTTTCAGTTATTGTTATCTACAGATAGATGACTACAGCTATACATCTCCATTCTGGAAATGTTAGTAGAGGGGTACAACTGAACTAGATGCAATTATGCCAAAATTCCAAACGTGTGCCCATAAAACCACCTTGAGATGCAAAAGCATCTTCTTTGGCTTCTCTTTAATCCAACCTTTATTGAAATAAAGCATAGCTCTGCACAGAAGAAACTTGTTTCGACTGAATGAAGTACTAGCAAAAACCCATCTTCAGTGGAAAGAGGCATTTCAGATTTTAAGCTCAATACACAGATCTACAGACTTGTTTGTTCCTGTACAAAAAAACTGGTTCCTTTAAATTTGTAAGATGTCAATTTAGTTTAACTGCCCATTAAAAACAGCATGGTCTACGAAACATGGCATTGCTGGCATCCCACCTTAATATTCAGGACCACAGGTCTTTGGACTAGAAGCCCTGCTACTAGCAAAGTGATGACTTCCAGTAGATTTGTTTTCGGGTTTCTTTTAACACAGTACATTACAAGCATGCATGCCTGGTATGCTCTCATTAATTTTAGTAAATAAATATTCATGAGACTAAATGTTGCCATACCTTATGACCTCTCTTTGACTACAGTATATCTAGCCTTTCTTTGTTCCTATGTGTGACAGAAAATGTTGACTTGTATTATTCTAGCAAGAAAGATCATCTCCCTCATTTGACCAGAAATCCTTTTGTTGTTGTTTTGGTTTGTGCTTTTTTATTATGGAAAAACAAACAGTATTTTCATGATTCAATACTTCACAAAGCAAACAGGCACAAAATGTTGCTTTCATATATTAAAAAAAAAAAAAACAGAACAGTGTCCTACTCACATCTGCATTAGGCCAGAGCTCTTTTATAACGTTTTCTATCCTGTTCACCACTTCCATCCGCATTCTCTCTTCTTCAGGTCTGGGAGACATATACTTATAAAAGTCAATGATTTCTTCATGAAGACTAAGAAAGAGGGAAGAAAAACAAACAAACAAAAAAAAAACAAACACCAGAGAGTCATGGAAAAAAAAAAAAAACACAAGAAACTGAAACAGCAACTATTCTAATCAAACATGCTTTTTGAGCTCCTAGTTACCTATCTAATTACGGGCCAGTTCAAGAGTAGCATGCAATTAAAAAAGAAAACAGGTTCACAACACTTGGCAATGTTTAATTTCCTGTTAGCTTCTTGTGCCATAGGTCAATATTGCACTGCACTTGCTGAAAGTGTGAAAGCAAATTTAAATCCAAGCACCTTCAATTCACATTGAAAATCACACTCTGTATTTTACTGCCAGTGTAGCAGAGAAATGGTTCAGTCTTCAAGTCTGAATGCAGCTGTAAGCTCTGAGTACAAGCTCTGCAAAAATGTAAACAGGAGGTTTTCAGCCAATGCTTCCTACTCAGCCCTTGGCACCAGCAAGGGAGTTTCAGGCATCAGTCTGTGTTCAGTAAAAAGCTTTTAAAAGTTGATAGCAATTGTGCCAGTACTAGAGCTAGGAAAAAAAATGCTTCTTTTAACTGCTTAAAGACACAAACTATGCACTCTCCCCCCATAACAAGAAAATAAGTAGTACACATACAGCAGTGGTGGCTCAGAAGAGTAAGTGATTGACAGACAGTAACCCATACATTTGACAGTTTACCATGTCAGTCAGTAAGTTGTGTTTAGAGTACCTATGATTAGAGCTGAAACAAAAACGCCTTCATACAGTACCACAAATTTCTGTGCTTCTGTAATATCATAAACACATCATCTTGACTAACAGTGTATTTAGAAAAACTGACACGACCCTTTAATATCAGCCACAGAGTAGCTAATCTGTTTCCTGCATTACAGTAATAGCTATTTTTTAAAAATGTATTGTTTCTAGTTACCAAGTACAACTGCATCTCCTCTTAAAGTTCTGAGGGACCATCAGAAGAGAGCAATTTATTAAGAGCAGATGAGATGGGGAATCTAATACTTCCCCACTGCATACACACTTCAAAAAATCCAATGTTAATAACTGGAAGTTGAATACAGGTGGAAACAAAATATTAAAATATCTGAAAGTTGTATTCAACAGTGTCAGCGTAGGGGCAGAACTCAAACCATCTGCATTATGTTCTTCAATACTGCAGCGTTACGAACAATGCAAGCTTCTTTCAGAGACAAAGAAATAAGATACTTACCTTACTTTCTGGTGAGCATTTATGGGAATTTTCCCCACATGTGGTTAGGGGAATAATCATAAGAGCCTAGCAACTCGTGGTGGCCATCACCACAGCTCTCTATAGCTAACACATACAGAAAAACTGAGAGTTCCTCCAAAGGGTAATCCAGACAGATACCCAATTCAGACAGCTTAATCAACCTCTGGAGAAGCTTCTTCTCCTCCTCTGACACCTACAGAAGGAGCCTTACAAACACTTAAAGTAAAAACTAAAACAAAACAACACCCCACCCCCCCCAAAGATCACCTGCAAAAATGCAAGGTGTCATCTCCCATCTCCCCCCTTACTGCCACACTAGCACCATGCCCTGTTCACACACATCACCTCAGGTACCACAAGGATGTTCTGAACACAGCTGCAATATTCATACCAGTGAATACTGCAGCGTTACGAACAATGCAAGCTTTTACCTATTTTCCACCGAGTGGTCAATCCATCAAATTGTTGCCAGACCAATTTAGAGACAAGGATGTTGTGTGGGTGTCCTGGGTTCAGCAGTAGCAGTCATTTTTCTCCTTCTGGTGTAGTGTTGAGTTTTTGACTTTCAGCGTGGGAACAACACTGATAACACCGATGTTTTTAGTTGTTGCTAAAGAATGTTAACTCTGACCAAGGACTTTCTCAGTCTCGTGCTCTGCCAGGGAAGAGGGGAAGCTGGGATGAAGCAGAGACAGGACACCTGACCCAAACTCACCAAAGGGGTATTCCATACCACAGCACGCCATGCCTGGTATATATACTGGGAGCAGTTACCCAGAAAGGTTAGATAGCTGCTCGGGTGGGGCTAGGTATCAGTTGGCAGGTGGTGAGCAGTTGTATTCTTTTCCGTTTTTATTTCCCTTATCATTATTATTACTGGTAGTAGCAGTACTGGTTTTGTGTTTGTCCTGGGTTCAGCAGTAGCAGTCATGTTTTTTCCTTTGTGTTAACTGGTGCAGTGCTGTGTTTTGACTTCTAGTTTGAGAACAGTGTTGGTGAAGCCGATGTTTTCGGTTGTTGCTAAGTGATGTTTACCCTGACCAAGGACTCTGTGAGGCTCATGCTCTGCCAGGGAGGCGGGGAAGCTGTGAGGAAGCAGAGACGGGGCGCCTGACCCGGGCTAGCCGGGGAGGTATTCCATACCACAGCACGTCATGCCCGGGGTGGGGGGTAACTGGGAGTTACCCGGAAGGACACAGGCTTCCGGGTGGAACTCGCTTTCTTGGCCGGTGGTATCGTATTCTCTTCCCTTGTTATTTTCCCTTATGTCGTGGTTTAAACCCAGTCAGGTAATTCGTTTGCTCACTTACCCCCCCTTTCTTGCCCTCCCCCTGCTCTCGGAGGGATGGAGAGGAGAATTGAAAAGAATGCAACTCCCACGGGTTGAGATAAGAACAGTTTAGTAACTAAGGTATAACACAGATCACTACTGCTACCACCAATGATAATAATGATAAAGGAAATAACAAGGGAAGAGAATACAACACCTCACCACCAGCCGACCGATAACTCGGCCCCCCAGTCCCTGACCAAGCACCGACCCATACCTCCTCCAACCCTGCCGTCTCCCAGCCCTTCCGGCTAACTCCCAGTTACATCCTGGGCATGACGTGCTGTGGTATGGAATACCTCTTTGGTCAGTTTGGGTCAGGTGTCCTGTCTCTGCTTCCTCCCAGCTTCCCCTCCTCCCTGGCAGAGCATGAGGCTCACAAAGTCCTTGGCCAAACCAAAACATCTTTGTTATCAGCTCTGTTCCCGAGCTGAAAGTCAAAACACTGCACTACACCAGCTACCAAGAAGGAGAAAAAATGACTGCTACTGCTGAACCCAGGACATTATCCACCCCTTATTCCATACCATTCACGTCATGCTCAGATCCCACATTTTCAATATACCATCACTTTTATCTCGGTGCACTCTTATCTTAGTGCATGGACCAGTCCCTATAAAGCTGCTGCGTCCATCTGGTCCATGTCAGGCTCCATCTCTTGTAACAGTCTTCCAGAGCAGGAGAGACTGTGTGCAGTGTTCACACTCGTGAATAACGTGGGCAATAGTGTCCATTGTTAAGTCCACCCCTCGATCATGAGTCCATCTCTGTGTTGCATCTCTGCTCTGATGGCCTGAAGTGCCATGGGCCCACCAGGCTTAAAATAATTCACTGTCCCCTTCAGCAGTTTCTGCAGCTTGTTGCTGGGGACTCCATACAGCTGCCTTCCATCTCCGACGCTTCCAAAGCACTGGAGGGGCCCAGTGGACTAGATACTTGCCCATACTGTCCCACACACCCTGCCACTCATGACTCTCCAGCCTTGGGGAAAATCTCTTGGTCCCCCTATATTGTTGTCTAACCCCAGACAAGACCCAAACCTGACTCTGCTTAACTTTTGAGATCAGACAAAATGGTTGTGGGTAGAACACAGCCTGTGTGTGTGCCAACATGCTGATCCCCATCACAATCAGCAGGCAGGTCCCAAGGATATCCAAAGGCCATTCAGAGCCTTCAGAACTCTCAAACGATGCTGCTGTGCTTGTCACTGGGGCTGGTGTAGCTGCTGTGCTTGCCGGCTCTCCCACCGCCAGCTTCTCTTTTCCTGAGTCCAGCTCTTCCTCCTCTGCCTTGCTGGGAAATGCTGCGTGGTCTCCTGCATCCTCCTGGGGCTCGGCAGGCGGCTTCCGGGGAATGCTCTCGGCCGTCGCAGGGCTCGGCTCCTCCGCGGGGCTCGGCTCCTCCGCGGGGCTCGGCTCCTCCGCCGCCTTCTCCCGCTGCTCGGCAGCCGCTTCCTTCTGCTCCTCGACCGCCCCGGCCTCCTCCACCGGCAGCCGTCCCCTGGCGGCCTCCGGCCCCGCTCCCGCCGCCGCTTGGTCCCCGTGGCCGCTCTCCCGGGCCGCTTCAGCAGCCGCCGGCTCCCGGGGCCGCTCCCCCTCAGTTCCCCGCAGCCTCACGAAGATGGAGAGTAGGGTGAGGGCCAGGACGGTGAAGAGCAGCCGGACGGCCAGGTACAAGTCCACGGCCACGTCCGTCCCGCCCTGCTGCTGGAGCCCACCCGTATTACAAGCCATTGCCATAAAGCACAGTGAGACAAGAACCTTAGCCCAGGCCCCACACTTGATAAACACTATCACAGCAAATACCGGCTCTACGTAAGTTACAACGGTCTGAAGCTGTGAGATCAAGAAGAGCAACTCTGATACCCAATAAATCAGCATTGTGACGAATGACTATTAATCCAGTCAAATCTGTCGTTATCTCAACCCTTCGTGCCCCACGTTGGGCGCCAAAAGAACTGTCGTGGTTTAAACCCAGTCAGGTAATTCGTTTGCTCACTTACCCCCCCTTTCTTGCCCTCCCCCTGCTCTCGGAGGGATGGAGAGGAGAATTGAAAAGAATGCAACTCCCACGGGTTGAGATAAGAACAGTTTAGTAACTAAGGTATAACACAGATCACTACTGCTACCACCAATGATAATAATGATAAAGGAAATAACAAGGGAAGAGAATACAACACCTCACCACCAGCCAACCGATAACTCGGCCCCCCAGTCCCCGACCAAGCACCGACCCATACCTCCTCCAACCCTGCCGTCTCCCAGCCCTTCCGGCTAACTCCCAGTTACATCCTGGGCATGACGTGCTGTGGTATGGAATACCTCTTTGGTCAGTTTGGGTCAGGTGTCCTGTCTCTGCTTCCTCCCAGCTTCCCCTCCTCCCTGGCAGAGCATGAGGCTCACAAAGTCCTTGGCCAAACCAAAACATCTTTGTTATCAGCTCTGTTCCCGAGCTGAAAGTCAAAACACTGCACTACACCAGT